AACAAAAGTGACAAACCTTTAGCTAGACTGACCGATGCCTGGGTGGCTCGGTCGTTGGGCAGCTGCCTTCAGCTCAGGTCACGATCCCAGATCGAGCCCCACATGGGGCTCCTTCATCAGCAGGAGGCCTGCTTCTCCCTCTCCCACTCCCTCTGCTTGTATTCCCTCTCTTGCTGTATCTCTCTCTGTCAAGTAAACAAAATCCTAAAAAATAAAAAATAAATAAATAAATAAAATCTTAAATTAAATTAATCTAAAATTAACTCTTGAGATCAGCTTAGGTCATGATCTCAGAGGATCAAGTCTCACATCAGTCTCCAGAACTCAGCTCAGAGTCTGTTTGGGATCCTCCCTCTCCCTTTGCCCCTTCCCCCACTCATACTCTCTCTCTCTCTCTCAAATTAAAAAAAAAATTAAATTAAAACAACAACAAAAAACAACATTTAAAATCAGGGGTGCTGGTCACCTGGGTGGCTCAGTCGGTTGAGCATCTGCCTTCAGCTCAGGTCATGATCCCAGAGTCCCAGGATGGAGTCCCACATTGGGCTCCCTGCTCAGCAGATAGCCTGCTTCTCCCTCTGCCCTGCACTCCACTTGTGCTCTCTCTCTCAATGAATAAAATCTTTAAAAAAAAGAAGTAAAATCAGGGGTGCCTGGCTGGCTCAGTTGATAGAGTATATGACTCTTGATCTCGGGGTCATGAGTTTGAGCCCCACATTGGGTATAGAGATTACTTTAAAAAAATCTTAAAAAAACAACTAAAATCAGAAATGAAGAAAGGGACATTACTACCTATCTTTTGGAAATGAAAAGAATTATAGAAGAATACTATAAACAATTGTATTTCAATAAATTAGATAACAGATGAAACAGACAAATTCCTAAAGAGTCATGCTATCAAAACTGCTTCAGGAATGACAATCTGAATAGACCCATCACAAAGGAAGAGACTGAATTAGTAAAAAAAAAAAACAAAAACCAAAACCAAAACCAAAACCAAAACCAAAAACTACCCACAACAGGGGTGCCTGGGTGGCTTAGTGGGTTAAAGCCTCTGCCTTCGGCTCAGGTCATGATCCCAGGGTTGTGGGATTGAGCCCCACATCGGGCTCTCTGCTCAGCAGAGAGCCTGCTTCCCTTCCTCTCTCTCTGCCTGCCTCTCTGCCTACTTGTGATCTCTGTCGAATAAATAAATAAAATCTTAAAAAAAAAAAAAACTACCCACAACAAAAAGGCCAGGCAGACCTGGCTTTCCTGCTGAATTCTACCAAACATTTAAACAAGAATTCATACCAATTTTTCACAAACTCTTTGATAAAAATAGGAGTGAACACTTTCCAACTCATTCCTTGAGGCCAGTATTACCCTGATATCAGCACCATACAGAGACATCACAAGAAAACTACAGAGCAATATTTTTATGAATATGAATGAAAAAGTCCTCAACAAAACACTAACAAACCTAAATCCAGTGACACAGAAAAATAATCATGCACCTAAGTATGTGGGATTTAGCCCCCAAAATGCAAGGTTGGTTTAACCATCTGAAAATCAGGTAATACACTATATCAATAGAATAAAAAACAAAACCCACATCATCATCCCAATAGATGTAGAAAAAGTACTTGACTAAGCCCAATCCTCTTTCATGAGAAAAACACTCAACAAACTAGAAATAGAAGGGAACTTCCTCAACCTAGCAAAGGGCATATCTGAAAAACCCACAGCTATGATTTAAAAAAGAAGTATTCATGCTTTCCTGGTAAGATCAGAAACAAGACAAAATACATGCTGTCACTTCTTCCATTCAACATTGTATTGGAGGTTCTAGTCAGGGCAATTAGGCAGATTAAATAAATAAAAAGTATCTGAATTAGAAAGGAAGAAGCAAAATTATCTCTGTTCACAGATGACAGGATCTATCTATTTAAAAAAAACTATTAGAACTGGTAAACAAATTCAGTAAATTTGGAGGCTATAGGATTGATATATAAAAAGCAATGATATTTCCCTACATTGGTAATGAACAATCTAAAATGAAATTAAGAAATTATCCCACTCACAATATCATGAGAAAGAATGAAATATTTAGGAATACATTTAATTTTTAAAAAAGATTTTATTTATTTATTTGACAGAGATTACAAGTAGGCAGAGAGGCAGGCTGGGGGGTGGGGTGGGCAAGAGCAGGCTTCTCGCTGAGCAGAAAGCCCGATGCGGGACTCAATCCCAGTACCCTGGGATCATGACCTGAGCCGAAGGCAGCGGCTCAACCGACTGAGCCACCCAGGTGCCCCAGGAATACATTTAATTAAAGAAGCACAAGACTTATACTCAGAAAACTACAAAACATTGGTGAAAAAAAATTTTTTTTTCAAGATCTGAATAAATGGAAAGACATTCCATGCTCAGGTAACACAAGTACTAAATACATAGGGTTTCTTTTGAATGTGATGAAAATGTTTCAAATTGACTGTGGTGATGGTTGAACGTATCCGTGGAAATACTAAAAACTATTAGATTTTACACTTCAAATGGGTGAATTGTATGGGCTGTAGATTATACTTCAACAAAGCTGTTTCTTTTTTAAGTTTTTATTTTAATTCCAGTTAGTTAATATGCAATGTTATATTCATTTCAGGTAAATAAAGCTGTTTTTTAAAAATATAAAAAGTAAATAGTAAAAAAAAAAAATTATAAAAAGTAAATAAATAGCCAGCTCCTGGCTAGCTCAGTTGATCTCAGGGTCCTGAATTTGAGGCCCACGTTGGGGTAGAGATTACTAAAACATAAATAACTTAAAAAAAAAAAAAAGAAAGGAAGGAAGGAAGAAAATAAACACAATGATAATTCAGCTTGTTTTGTAGAGTGCCCAGACACTCAGAATTGCATCCCCAGAGCGGTTCCCACACCCGCTTCGGTTGTGGATGTTTCACCATGATTCTCACTTCATGCGTGAGAAAACATATTCAGAAAAGCAAATTTCATGTTTTCATCCAGCAAATAATCCTTGAGGCCAAGGAGTTGGTCTTGTCTAAGGGACCACAGTGAAGAGGTGGAATGAAGGAGGGTTTCCGGTCTCCTGTCCTACTGTTGCTGGCCCTGCCCTTCTGGGCCTGAACTTCAGCAGCCATGTTAGTTCCCGGACCCCACGAGGTCCTGGGTGTTGGGCTGGCAGAAAGGGCTACTTAAGATGGCGAAAGTTCCCGCCACAAGACCTGAGCTCGGACAGGAGAACAAAGGCCCAAGCAGGAATCTGAAACCCCCGCCCCGGGCTCCAGTGGACCAATGGGACCCCGACGAGCAGGTGAAATATCCGAATAAGGGAAACTTGCCAAAAGACCCCTGAGCTCCCCTCTAGACCCCTTAAAAGCCCCCTCCTCCCTGCCTTAGGCGCGACTTCCGCCACTCTGCTTTCCAGAGTCGCGGAACCTCGCCCGAGGGTGCCCACCTCTTCCCCGCGCAACTTTCCTGGCTCCCCTCTTCCTGAGCCCTGAAACTTCGCTGGACAGTGCCTTTAATAAATCTTGCCTTGCACCCACTTTGCCTGGTGTTGTGTTTATCTCGCTGGAAAAACTTTACACTGGGCACAACGAGTCTTGTCCGAGGATATAAGCCTCTAAGATACTTGTTCGTTCGTTTGGACCGGTCTGGGCCTCCTAGCACCAGAGGTTTGATGTGACTCCTGGGAGCAGTCTGCACTCAGTGCCTGGCCTGGGAAGCCCTGTGGTGTATGGGGGTCCAGTACTGCTCTTCCTCCCAAATCATGTATACAATCCAAGTCTTGGACCACCTCTTCTCTGAAGCAAGAGCCCAACTCAGTCTGGATGGGGAAGGAGGGGAAGCTCCTCTATTGGAGGAAGCTAGGGTGTGGGAGTGGGGGCCCGGGTACTGAAGGGCTTCTCGGTCTAGGAATTAGCAATTACCTGTGCTTCGATTTCCAGGTGACCATGAGGCCAAACTGGGGTTTTCTTTAACGGGGTTGTGAATTGGGAGAGGGGATGGGACTCTAGTCCCTTTCCTTCTGCAGAGTTAGGTCAACCTCCCCTTTGGCCTCCCCCATTGTTTGTCTCTCCAGGTTCTCCTTCTGACAGGACTCCAAAGAAGGATCTTGCTGACCCTTGTCCCAGAGGCCAGAGACTAAAGCGATGCTGTGAATTCTGAAGGCTGAGAAGCAGAGGACAGGTCTTTTGGTTTTCAGATCTAGATGTGAATTCCAGGTTCACCCGATCCGGCTGTGGGACCTTGGGCAAGCAGTGCAGCACGCTGAGATGCAGTTTCCCTGGGTGTTCAATGGTTCCCTCTGCGCAGTCCGTTTTGGAGGGAAACGTTCAGGAGCGAGGCCGCAGCTCAGCAATTCCCGCAGGCTCAGCCCGCGGAGCTGGGACAAAGGCAAATCCAAGGGTGGGTCAAAGGGCGCCTGGGTAATTCCTATCCCTGGCTTCTGGGACGACGGCGTGTAACGGCGTGGGCGACTCTACCGGGGCCCCACACCTCGCGTCGCTGTCCCCTCAGGTCTGGCAGGGCGGACACACCCGGCTCCCGGGAGGAGGCGGGCGCGGGCGCGGGAAGGGGCGGGCCCTCGGCTGGGCTGGGAGGAGTGCGGAGCAGCGTGCGGACCGCGGCCGCGAGGGGAGGTAGGCCGGGGCGCGCAGTCGGGCGCGGGAGTCCCTTCCGCGGGCAGGGCACCTCGGGCTGACGTGCACCGCTCGCGGAACGCAGGCGGCGCCAGGGGCAGCCGGGCGAGCGCCGGGGCTTCGGCAGTGCAGGGCGGGAGGCGGAACAGGAAGGCACAGGCGGCGCAGCAGCTTCTCCCGGCGCGGAGAGGGGGCTCGTCCCCTGCTTCCCCCTGAGGGTGCCCGCCCCACCCCTGCTGCCTCAGGCTCCTGTAGAGGACACGTGTCAGCACGTTCCCGCCGTTGTCGTCTCATCCCATGTCATAGCCCCTCCCCGGGGCCTGGGACACCCCCTCCCCCGGCCCCATTATTCCCAGGCCCAACCTCCCAAGAAGAACCGAGGTCCCGGCCGGGTCCTTTTCCTCCACCGGCCCTTCTCCCCAGCCAGCGAGCGCCCCGGCCCGGCCCCCAGCCGAAGACACTTGACACACCGTCTTACCCCTGTCATCTCATCCCTCAGCCTAGTTTCACCCCGGGCCTGGGAACCCTGGTGTCCTTGGCCCATTGTCCCTGGGCCCGGCTCCGCACTAACCGCAGGCTCGGCCCTAGCCCCTGACCCGCGCGTCTCCCCCGGCAACGCGCCGCCACTCGGGATGCAGCCGGCAGGCTGGGCGGCGGTCAAGGAGGCGGCGGGCCGCGACGTGCTGGCCGCCGACCTCCGGTGCAGCCTCTTCGCCTCGGCGCTGCAGAGCTACAAGCGCGACTCGGTGCTGCGGCCCTTCCCCGCGTCCTATGCCCGCCACGACTGCAAGGACTTTGAGGCCCTGGTGAGTTCTCTCCACCCCTTCCCGCGCTGTCCTCTGCGTCCCAGGCCACGTGGCCTGTGGACCTGTATTAGTGAACACGCCAGCCCCCAGACTTAATATTCCCAGCCGGGCCTTAAGGAAGGTTTCCATGAACTCACAACACCCATACCCTAATATCGACAATCCCAAGGCCCTTGGTGGTTACTCCCTCATGTTAATGACAAGTAACTCCCAGGAGTGAAGTCAGAATTCAATAGTCGCATAAGCCTCCACAAAATTTCCTAGCATGGCCAGCAGTAGGGGGGTTGATCTGAATCAGATGCTTCTACTAAGTAAGAACTTATTCATCTCTTTAAAAGTAATCAGACACTAAAAATCACCAACGCCACCCAGACCTTGATCTTCAAATGAGGTAATATGTGGGCAGTACTTTTATGAATTGTAACGTGCCGTCTGCATGTCAGCTGTTATTTCTCCCATGATTCACAAGGCACTTAATTTCTTACAGAGTTCACCTCAGGGTAAGCATTCCAGATATCACTTGTCTTTGTAATTCAAATGTTGGGAATTACCTAGAAAAATACAGTTTACAAAAATCAGTTCTATAAGAAGTAGAAAATCAAAATAGCCTATAATCATTAAAGGCATTGAGTGAGTAGTCAAAGATATTCCCTCAAAGAAAACTCCTGACCTACCTGGTTTCCTTGGCGAATTCTACCAAACACTGAGAGAATAAGTGCTTCCAGTTTCATTTTGTGTAAAATTCTTTCAGAGTATTGAAAAAGAGGCTAATGTAAGCTTGATCTAAATCTGATAAGGATAACACAAGAAAAGAAAATTATAAGCCAGTGTCACTCGTGAGTATAAATATAGAAATCCTCAAAAAAACTAGCATCCTGATTCTGGCAATGTATAAAAAGAATAATTCCCCATGAACAGGGTGGATTTATTCCAGGTATCAAAATTAGTTAAACATTAAAAAAAAAAATCAGTGAATGTTATGAACCATGTTAACAGATTAAGGCAGATATTTTGAATCAACAGATGCTTAGAATTTTCTCTGATGAGGTGGTCAGGGTTGGATTCCCTCTTTGCTATCACTCTCAAGAGGTCTAGGGACAAAGGCCCAGCCTCCTGCCCTTATCTGGTCCATTATAGCCCAGGCCAGGGATGTGTTGAGGGCACCCCAGGCCTTGACCACAGTGCATAGGCATTTCAGGGTACAGGGAGTGGGGGTTGGAGAAAGATAAGCCAACTGACTTCCCTCATGGTTTGTTCTGAAAATTCAGATATTCAGTTTTGTGAGTTTGTGGTATCAGAGCCTTGGGGATAAAACGTCCTTCCTATTTGTCAGGAGATATTTATGGAGTGTCTGCTGTGGGCCAGGTGCTAAGGGTACAGAATTAAAGACCCAAGGTCTTTAACAGTGTGTTCAGCTGTATTATGGAGTAAGTCTGTATATACAACATAGAAGTCCAGGGCTGGAATCCCAGTCCTTGGCAGTGGACTAGGGTCAGGGAGTACTAAGTAGGGGCTGTGGCTGATGCCATGCTGAGTCCCCAGGGACATGGAGGATTTTTGAGGAGCAGAGAGAAGGGAAGAGGTATTCCAGGAGGAGTAGCAGGATGGGAGGAAAGCCAGGAGCTCATTGAGAAGGACAAGTCTAGACTTTAGTGTGGCTACCAAGGGGAATAGGAAGAGATGAGGTTGACCAGAGCACACAGAGCTGGGCATGTTTTGCCAAAGATGTGTTGATTTTACCCTTGGGCAGAGGAGGGCATGGTGAGATCCAGGATGCATTGTTTTGTTTTGTTTAAGATTTTATTTATTTGAGAGTGAGCGCACAAGTGGGGGTGGGCAGAGAGAGAGGGAGAAGCAGATTCTCTTCTGAGCAGAGAGCCCGATGTTGGGCTCTATTCCAGGACCCCAAGATCATGATCTGAGTTGAAGGCAGATGCTTAACTGACTGAGCCACCCAGGTGCCCCCAGGATGCATTTCTGAAAGACCCCTGAGGAGGCAGGGTGAGAGAGGAAATCTGTCAGGAGGAGTAGACAGAGGAGAGATTAGGGTCAGAGGGACCAAACTCAACGGATATGGTGCCCTGCAATGCACATTATTAATTCTGACCAAGAAACATACAAATGGACTAGAATTCTCATTATGTTCTTTTCCTACTGGAAGGTCTTCTCAGCAAACAGAATGAGGTTTGACAAATATGGGATAAAAACAAAGGGAGCTTTGGAATTATTTTGATGTGCTCATGCTTTTTAAAAATTTATTTTTATTTTAATTTTTTAAAAGATTTTATTTATTTATTTGACAGAGAGAGAGATCACAAGCAGGCAGAGAGTGGGAGGTAGGCTCCCCGCTGAGCAGATAGCCCAATGCAGGGGCTTGATCCCAGGGCCCTGGGACCATGACCTGAGCTGAAGGCAGAGGCTTTAACCCACTGAGCCACCCAGGCGCCCCTAAAAATTTATTTTTAATTATGCAAACAATGGTTGGATATATTTTTGTTATAAAATATACAAATGATATGGATAAAGTAAAAGTGCCCCCAGCAGAGCATTCCACATTCCCCATAGGTATCAGTGCTCTCAGTTGAAGGCACTTTCTTCCTTCCTGTCATATCTATAACCTCTTAGGAGAGCACTGGCGATTAAGGTAACCCCAAATAGCCAGCCTCTCATTTGTAGGGACAGACTGTTTAGTCATGGGGCTCTTTGTGCCAGTTCTAGCTAGGGCACCCTTGCTCCCAAGTGCCACTGAAGAAACATGGACGGGTTCTTCCCATCCTGTTCTGGTGCCTTATTCCTTATTGGGCACCATTGTGAGGGAAGCTAGGCCAGGCTCAACAGCTTCTTGGCTGTGTGTAGGCATGGTTTTAACGAGCAATTTCCCTGGAGAAGGCCACTCACCAGGCAGGGCCTTGCACCATGACTTCTGGGGGCCTGCAAACATTCTTTTTTTTTTTTTTTTTTTTTTTTTAAAGATTTTATTTATTTATTTGACAGAGAGAGATCACAAGCAGGCAGAGAGGCAGGTAGAGAGAGAGGAGGAAGCAGGCTCCCTGCTGAGCAGAGAGCCCGATGCGGGGCTCGATCCCAGGACCCTGAGATCATGACCTGAGCCGAAGGCAGCGGCTTAACCCACTGAGCCACCCAGGCGCCCGCCTGCAAACATTCTTAAATAAATATACTTTAGGTTTCATTTTGCCACATGTTACATGAATTGTAGAAAAGATGCAGAGAACTTGGTATCTGGACCTGTATCTGACTCAAAGCTTAGCTTTTTATTATTTTTAAGTAAACTGTACCCCCAGTGTGGGGGTTGAACTCATGACTCTGAGATCAGGAGTCCCGTGCTGTACTGACTGAACCAGCCAGGTGCCCCCTCAAAAGTTAGCTTTTAGAGAAAACGGAATCAGGTCCAGACTTTGCCTTCTGGATTATTTTGTGGTTACCTGAAGAAGGAAGGTATAGAGCTGTTAAAAAGTCTCTCATTGTTAGATAAGAGCTCTTGGAAATAATGTGAAACAGTGTATCATTTTCAGCCATTTTTATTTATTTATTTATTTATTTATTTAATTTATTTAAGATTTTATCTATGTATTTGACAGAGAGATCACAAGTAGGCAGAGAGGCAGGCAGAGAGAGAAGGGGAAGCAGGCTCCCCACCAAGCAGAGAGCCCGACTCAGGGCTCGATCCCAGGACTCCCGGGATCATGACCTGAGCCCAAGGCGGAGGCTTTAACCCACTGAGCCACCCAGGCACCCCTCAGCCACTTTTAAATCATTTTCTCTCCACTGTTATTACACACCTATAACACATGGGTTGTTTCCGAAACTTAGAGCTCTGGCTGAATTACTTTATTGACTGTGGCTTTCCTGAGAACATCCCCTACTGAACCAAGCTCTTGGCTTTAGGCATGGCTCTGGCCTTATTTTGCCACAGTACCTGCAGTCCCAAATCATCTCTCCAGTGCCTTGTTTGGAGGACATTTCCATTCTGAGTCAGCTCTTCAATTTTGCGCTGGGAGTCCTTTGTATTCCCAGGGTCTGGCCTGAGACGTGCTTATCACATGTTTGAGCAATCAAATTAGGTATGTGCTGATTGCCTCTGACTGAGGGTTTCTAACCCTATTCCCTTGGGAAGAGGGTTGGCTAAGCTCCTATCAGGTAAGAGACCCTCTAAGATTTTTGGGATGTCCTGTAGCCCTGACAATTGACCCCTGAACTTAAGGTTGAGCTATCCTGGGTACAGTTCATATTCCCTGAGACACTTTACACAGAATCTTGTCACTGGCATCACAGCTGTTAAGTTTTTTGTTGTGTTTTTCCACTGGAAAACATCATGCCCCAGTTCACCATTAGCCTGAAGACCCTTTCAAGGGGTAGGAGGTTGGGGGGGAATGGCTCCTTTGTATTAATTCCAGCCCTTTACCACCCAAAGTCTGGTTGAGGACCAGCCACATCAGCATCACCTGGGAGCTAGTTAGAAATGCAGAATGTCGGCCCCTCCACCCCAGACCTACCCAATCAATACCTTAATTTTAATAAGATTCTTGGGCATTTGTGTGCATTGTAAAGTCTGAGAAGCACTGTATCTAGCCTACCCCTTTCCTTTCTACTGAACTGCACTAATCGACTCTTCTGGTTCTGGTCCGTGGCTTGTGCTGTCTAGCCAAGCTGTGTCCCCAATGTCTGGGTTAAACCATGAATAAGCTGCTCTCTGTGCTGACTCCAGGGAATGCCTGTCCTCTCCACACCATCTCCCTCTTTGTCCAGACAAACTTTTCTTAATCCTTTAGGACATAACTGGGACCTCATCTTATTCTCAACCTCTACCCCCAGCAGTTAGGAGTCCTTCCTTTGCGAGCCTTCACAATTTAAAAAATTTTGCTCTTTTAAATGCTGCTATGACAAACTACCTTGTAGAGTAATCATTGTTTACATCTCTAAATGGTGAAATTGCTGGCTCAAAAGGGTAAGCAACCTCTCTAAGCGAGGCTTTTAATGCT